TCAGTAAAAAAAACTACTGGAACTAATTTAGAGATTTAGCATCGTGGCAGGATACAAGATCAACATACGAAAATCAACTGGATTCTTCTACACCAGCAAAGAGACTGATGAAAAGGAAATAATGAAATCAATACCATTTGCAACAGCTATCAAGAAAATATAATACTTGGGAATAAATCTCACTAGGGACACAAAAGACCTGTACAAAGAAAACTATAAAAGACTACTTCAAGAAACCATAAGAGATCTATAAAAATGGAAGAACATACTATGCTTGTGGATAGGAAGATAGAACATCGTTAAAATGTCATTACTATCCAAAGCAATTTATACATTCAATGCAATCCCAATCCAGATCCCATCAACATTCTTTAAGGATATGGAAAACCAATTACTAATTTTATATGGAAAGGAAAGAGACCTTGGATAAGCAAAGCACTACTAAAGAAGAACAAAGTAGGAGGTCTCACACTCCCAGATCTCAAAACCTACTTACAGTGGTCAAAACAGCCTGGTATTGGTACAGCGACAGACACATAGACCAGTGGAACAGAATTGAGAACCCAGAATGGATCCATTGACCTATGGTCAACTTATTTTTGATGAAATGCTAAAATCCATTATATAGGGAAGAGACTGTTTAACAAATGGTGCTGGCAAAACTAGATATTCATTTGCAGAAAAATGAAACAAGATCTATACCTCACACTATACACAAAAACTAACTTCAGATGGATCAAAGACTTAATGTAAAACCTAAAACTATAAAGTTCCTCAAGGAAAAACTAGGAGCAAATTTAACATCCCTAATTTATGGCATAAGTAGACTGCCAAGCACAACCCAAAATGCACAAACAGCAGAAGATAAACTAGATGAATGAGACCTCTAAAAATTAAATTTTTAGGTGCTTCCAAAGACTTCTTCAAAGGAGTAAAAAGAGAACCTATAGATTGGGAAAACATATTCAGCAATGACATATCTGACAAGGGACTTTAAAATTTACAGAAAACTCCAACATCTCAACAATAAAAAAGACAAACAATCCAATTAAAACATGGCAGAAGACATGAATAGACACTTCACTAAAGAGGATATTCAGATGGCCAACAAACATATGAAGAAATGGTAATAATCATTAGCCATTAGAGAGATGCAAATCAAAACAACAGTGAAATTCCATCTGGTTCCAGCACTAATAGCAAAGTTCAACAAAACAGAAAATAACAAATGCTGGCAAGGATGCGGAGAGATTGGGACTCTCATATACTGCTGCTGTGTGATTTGCATGTAGAATCTGCAAATCACCACATAACATGGATGAACTTGGAGGAAATTATGCTGAGTGAAATGTCAATCACAGAAGGACAAATATTGTTTTAGTTTATTAGTGTAAAAAGTAAAGGAAAGCTTTATGTAGGAAACTTTCTTTGTTGGTTGCCAAGGGTGGGAGGGGAGGAGAGGGGAGGAAACATTGCAAAAAATAAATTAATTAAATAATAATTTTTTTTTTTCAGTTTCAACTTGAACTTTCATATGAACAATTGATGGTCTGTTCCACAATCAGCTCCTGGCCTTGTTTTGGCTGGACATGTTGAGCTTCTCCATCGCCTCTTTCCACAGATGCAGTCAATCTGATTGTTGTACACTCTATCTGGTGAGGTTCATGTGTAAAGCCATCATTTATGTTATTGAAAATGGTATTCGCAATGAATAAGTTGTTGGTTTTGCAAAACTCTGTCATCTGATCTCCAGCATCATTTCTATCACCCAGGCCATATTTCCAGCTACTGGTGATTCTTCTTTGTTTTCAACTTTCACATTGTAATCACCATCCTTGTTTTTGGCTTTGGTGGTTGGTGTATAAATTTGAATTAAAAGTTGTATTAACCTGGTCTTCCTTGTAGGCATATGGATATTTTCCTATCACTGACAAGATTGTACTTCAAGATAGATCCTGAAATATTTTTTGTGACAATGAATGCCATGCCATTCCTCTTCAATTTGTCATTCCCACCATATTAGATCATAAGGTTGTCTGATTCAAAAAGGCCAAAACTAGTCCATTTAGGTCACTATGCCTAGGATATTAATCTTTATGCATTCCATTTCATTTTTGACAACTTCCAATTTTCCTAGATTCATACTTTGTACATTCCTTGTTCCGATTATTAATGGATGTTTGCAGTTCTTTCTTCCCATTTTGAGTCGTTTTACATCAGCAAATGGGGGTCCTGAAAGCTTTACTCTGTCCACGTAATTTACATCGACTCTACTTTTTGAGGAGGCAGCTTTTCCCCAGCCATATTCTAAGTGCCTTATGACCTGAGTCATAAGGAGCTCTGGTAGCATAGTTGCTAAAGCACTTGACTGCTAACCAGACGGCTGGCGGTTCAAACCCACCAGTCACTCCTTGGAAGGAAGGTTGGGCAATCCTACTTCCGTAGTGATACTGCCTCGGAAACCCAAGGAGGGGTCGCTATGAGTCGGGGCCGACTCGATGGCACATAACAACAACAACAACAATATGACCTGAGTGGCTCATCTTCTGGAACTACATCAGATGGTGTTTCAGAGCTATGCATAAAGTTTTCACTAGTGAATTCTTTGAGAAGTTGATAAGCCCCTTCCTTCTTCCGAGTCTGTTTCAGTCTGGAAGCTCTACTGCAACCTGTCCACCATGGGTGACCCTGCTGGTATTTTAAATACTGGTGGCATAGCCTCCAGCCTCACAGCAACACACAGTCCCTCACAGTGCTACAAACTGACAGATGAGTGGTGGAAGGGAAATTAAAACCTTAGTTAAAGCCAGTGAGGGCAGAGAAAGAACTTTCCAGGTATAAGAGACATTATGTGTCACTTTTTTTTTTTGGTTGGGAGAGGGTGGCTCACCACATCCAAGGAACCAAAAGGAGAGGAGAGCATAGAGACTGATGGGGACGATTTTCAAGATGATGTAGGAAAGTAGATCATAGGGCCAACTGAGATCTGTTAGGCCATTTTGTTCCCTACCCTTAGTCCTAAGTAGGGGGAGAGATAGACAGGACTACTACTTATTTACTTTCCATGTAATTACTAACAAAGTTGGTCTTCCATTTTAACTCTGGTTACTCTATTCTTCTAAGAAAAATAGAGAGAAGAATAGAGGTTCTTCTCTTGTGTCTCAGTGCTCTACAAAACTCTCCTAGCTCTGGCTACCTAACTATGATCTTTAAAACTTTCTACCAGACTTGTGTAACCCAAATTGTCTGCCTGTTTTGGACTTCCTGCCACCACAGGAGCTCTGATAACACCAGATGCTGATCTACAAATGCCTCAACTAAAACCAGAGATATCACCATACCAACTTATTCAAGCCTCAAAATCTTTGGTAATTCATTGATATATTGACCAAATATGTCGAGCAGTTGTCTGGTAGACAATTGCTCTCTTAGGTTGTCTATATCCTATATATCTTTTCATATAATTCCCCTCTTTCAGTCTGCTAATGGTCCTGTCACTTTTCAGGGACATTTTATTTTTAAAACTTTGGAAATTCCAATGGTGTCCTGATACTTCAACAGTGTGAAACTATTATTGTTGGTCTTTTTACAACCCTCAGAAGTCTGATTAAGGACCACAGTTGTGGGAGACACCAAGCTCAACTGGCACAAAATACTACACAAAAACATTGTTCTACATCCTACTTTGGTGAGTAGTGACTGGAATATTAAAAGTTTGCAATCCATCATCTAAGATGTAACTATTAGTCTCGCCTCATCTGGAGCGAAAAAGAGTGAAGAAAGTCAAAGATATATGGAAACAACTAATTCAAGGCACCAAATGACCATGGGAACCTCAGCCTACATGTCCCTGAGACCATAAGAACTAAACAGTGCTCAGCTACCAATGCCAACCACTTGGAAAGGGATCAAAATTGGAGATCAAGGATAGAATGGGAGAAAAAAATGTGGAACAAAATTAAAAACATAAAAATGACCAAGATTACTGGTTGGAAGTGGACTGGTGAAACCCCTGAAACTATGGCCCTGAGTCACCCTTTGGGACTGGAATTAGACTTACTGCCATGGCTTGACTCTCAGCCAAACAAAAGGCAGGGCTATGAGCTGAACACCAGGGAGATACACTCCCTAGAATAGTTAATCATGGGAGACATCAAAAGGGTAGCATTTGCACAGAAGGAAGCAAGGGAGGCAGGAATACATAGGTAAGAAGGACAAAGGGAAGGGGTAATCACTAGGGTATGGTGGGAAGAGAGCTTTTACATCGTGGGGATTGTAATCAGTACCATGAAACAAAAGGTGTACAAACTGTTGAACATAAAACAAATCTGCTTTGTAAAATTGCACCAAAATAGCAATAAAAAGTCAAAAGAAAAGAAGTCTGCTCTCTGACACAAGTATCCATAGGATTGTCCATCATGCTTAGAACCTTAACAAACTCTAACTTCCGATAATTCTAGAATTTTGAATTTGTTCCTTCTTAATTTCTGCATCATTTACAATATCTAGCAGTGTTGCATGACTTGGATTATAGTATGTGAACTCCTCCTCCTCTTTGTCCTTGACTGAACAGGATTTTGTTGTATTTTTCACACTAGTATTCTTCATATACATGTCTATGAATGAACAGCTTCTAACTGTATACTTCTCTTGGATCTTTATTCTCTGCCCCATCCTCACCTTGAGTTCTTAGTCTCAGCTTGGCTTTCCCAACCCTCTGTCACCCTTTTACCCTTTAAGGCCAGGGCTATCATTTATGGCTATGTTTACTGCATCCTTTTACAAGGGGGCCTGGAAGGTGACAAGTAGTTCTTAACATAGAATTGTACCAACCAGGAAAAAAAAAAAAAAGAGTGCTTTTTTTTTTTTTTTCTTTTTCCCCCTAATTCTTCCTCTCAGAATTGGCATCATTTTGTAATTTATGGGCTTAGAGTAGGGACTTGTTCTAATTTTCACAAAGCCTTTAAATGGGCCTGCCAAAATCTAATTTGATTGCCTACCTGGACATGCTTGTATATTGCATCTGGATACCTGAGTAGCATCTCCTGCACAGGGGCGGCCACTTTTAGATGGCACTGGATTGCTGCATAGCCGTTTCCGAGTCTTTTCACCTCCTCCACAAGAGGTAGAGCACTGGCTCCAACTATGCCAGTTTCCCCAACTTCCATCCACTGTGTACAAGAATGTAGTGGTTAATATTAACATGTTAGTTTTGAAACAGACACTAAGGGTGACTTTGCCTATACAACTTCCAACTTAAGATCTGAAAGGGTGAGCTGCTACAATAAGCACTAAATGAAATGCTTTACTTGTTCTATTGCCAGAAGTCAGAAAGCTCACCAGGACACATGTCAGTGTTACATCTCTGGATCTGGGAGTCTGGCCCCCCACAAGCTCTTCCTCCATTGGAGGGATGAGGGTTGTCACACGTGCGGTACCTCCGCATTTGCCCTCCATTACATGTCCGGCTGCACGTTCCCCAGCCACTCCAAGGACTCCAGTTACCATGAGCTAGAAACACAGAATCATTTGACATGAAAATGGAGCCCGATAAATGAGAAGTGTTAAGCAATGATATTCATTGCAAAATCACTGGGAACTCTCTTCAGGAACTTAAAAGAAACATACAAATCTATGAATAGGCAACTTCTAAAGACAGATGATTTAGCTGTTGTGATGAGTAGAAACTGGGCATACATTCTAGTGATTGTGTGATCCCATTTAGATACATTCATTGAGTCTTAAAATATCCTAGAAGCTGGAAGGTATGAATAAGACAGGGTCTCTGACATTAATAAGCCATGGCTGAAACATTCAGGATACAGTAAAACTCAGATTTCCAGATATCATGCTGTGGCTAGGGTGTGAAAATATAGGTTGGTGATTGAATTAAGGCAAAGAGCTGCCTGCTTACCTCCATAAAGGAATCATCAATATTATTAGGTTAGTATGGAAGATTGCCCTTGTCCTTGTACTGTGCAGCTTGCCTTATATAAAATACATGAAAGTGGACCTAGCCCTTCCCTGCCTGTGGTAGTTAAGGTTGTATGTCAACTTGACTGGGCTGTGATTCTGAGTGGCTTGGCAGTTGTGATGTAGTTATTCTCCATGGTGGAATATGTTGTAATCACCTCCATGGTGGAATCTGCTGTGAGCTGCCAATCAGTTGATGGAGAGTATGGCCTTTGGAGTGTGGCCTGCTTTAGTATATATGGAAAAGCTGTGGCAAAGGTCTCTGGCTTTTTGCTCATTTTGGATTCTGCATTTGGCCCATCAGTGGCTTGCCATGTTGCTTGCCTATCTTGGAAATGTTGTCTTCTCAGTCTATGGGCCAACAATCTGCCATTTTACCTGCCAATCTTGGATTTCTCAGCCTTACAAGCCAGCAACCTGCTATACTGCCTGCTAATCTCAAGTTCCTCAGTTTCTATAGCTGCATGAATCAAAAGAAGCCTCTAGCTTGATATTTGATGCATGGACTTGGAACTTGCCAGCATCTACAGCTCCATGAGCTATTTCCTTGAGATAATTTTTTTTTTTTCTCTCTCTCTGCTTTCCTTGTTTTACTTTTCTAGAGAACCCAGCTGAAGACATTGACCATATAAATTAATGGCATCTATGGTATGAGTCGGGGCCGACTTGACGGCACATAACAACAACAACAACAACAATGGTATTATACAGTCACAACAGCAATCAGACAACATATTGATAACCTAAATAAAAGACAGAAAAATAAAATACAGAATATTATAACTTTAAGTCTGTAAAGACTTAATGAAACTTTAAGGCAGTGTAATGGTGATTCAGTATTTCCAACACTCACTTGGACAAGGGTCACTATTGCAAAAGTCACTCTGGACATCACTGCCTTCACATTTGCTTCCTCCATACTGGGGGGCAGGGTCAGAGCAATCCCTTGTTCTCTGTCTGGCACCTCCTCCACAGGACACAGTGCAGGCACTCCAGCTGGCCCATGCTGTCCACTTGCCATCAACTGGTTTTAGAGAAAAACATATAGTAGCTAAGACACTTGACTGCTAACCAGACGGCTGGCGGTTCAAACCCACCAGCCACTCCTCGGAAAGAAGGTTGGGCAATCCTACTTCCGTAGTGATACTGCCTTGGAAACCCAAGGAGGGGTCGCTATGAGTCGGGTTTGACTTGACGGCACATAACAACAACAACAAGATGGACATTGTTAGATTGAGTGATGTTCTTGTGAGGCACAGTCAGAATGAAATAGATTCTTATTGATAGATTATCTCAATAAACTGTTGTTCTTGGGTGCTGTCAGGCTGATTCTGACTCAAAATGATCCCATGTGACAGAGTAAAACTGGTTGTAGTCTTTACAGACACAGGCGGCCAAGTCTTTCTCCTGCAGAGCCACTGGGTGAGTTTGACCACCAACCTTTGGTTTAGCAGGGGAGCACTCAAATGTTGTGCCACCATGGCTCTTTTTCTTAATAAGAAATGGATATAAATTTATTAAAGGTATAAATATTGTGTTTCCCTTACCTGGACAATGTCTTTCATTGCAAACTTGCATCTGTGTGTCTGCTCCATTGCAGTAGGATCCATCAAATGATGGTGGTGGATTAGTGCACAGCCTCATTCTTGTCTTGGTACCTTTCCCACAGCTTTCACTGCATGCAGCCCACGGATGCCAAGAGCTCCATGCTCCGTGAACTACAAACACCCAAGAGACAGAGGTCCAGGTCACAGAATGATGTTTGTTTTGAAAGCAAACAAAATTATACAAATAAATTAACTCAGTAATGAGTTAAATTCATCCAGAATCTGAAAGAATTGAAATTAAACCAAAGGAAACATAACAGAGATGTTCTTCCTTTCTCCTTCTGGTTAGGTTTTCATGGGGATTTATGTCTATAGAGACATTCAGAAGGATGAAACAAATGCTTAAAATTATCCAAAGGAGTTATTTTATTAAAATTATATTTACTCAGACTTGCATATGCACACCCAATCTGAGTGTCTAAATCCTAGCTGAATATCTGTCTGTGTTCTGAGAAAGTAGAAGGAATTAGGAGCAAGGATGCATAATACTTACAGAAGTGGTTATGAACGATATCAATATTTTCATAACAATAACTGAGACCCTGCAAGACCACATCTTTAAGCCTGATTCAGCTTTATGTTTGAATATGTACTTGGATCTTTCAACAACATGATGATTTGCATGGTTGTAACTCTTTGAAAAATTTCTCCATTACATAATGTTCATGAATTAACACACTTATGAATAACACACTTACCTGTTTCCTAAACAACAGAAAAACTGACCAACAGTTTCCAAAGGGTGATATTAAGGCCTTTTGGCAACTAACATATTATGCCACCTGACCACAAGATTGGAACAAACTTACATTTTCTACCCAGTGCATGGGCTGAACATCAACACTACGGTTTCTCTTACATATAAATCAGTAGAAGGTCATACTTTTGTCTTAAGGGAATTTTCTGGATATAGGGTTCATAAAGTATGTTTTTTTTTTGTCACCTTGTTTAACTAAGATATGAACCAAAATAGAGGCTTGAAAATCCATGTTTAAATATACTCTTAAAACAACATATAAGATGCCAAAACAACAAGCTAAAAACCAAGTTATGAAGTTATTAATTACATGCTTTTTTGATACAATACTTTAAAATATATATTGCATTTTCTTTTAAAGAACTTTATTCCTGAGTTCATTAGCTATTCTTGTACTTTATTGACACAGACTATATGAAGTTAGAAATCCATTTTAGCTGGCAAAACATTGCACTAAAATGTATTTGACTAAACCTAACAGGAAAGATGAAAGCCTTTAAACAAATGGCCGAATACTAAAAACTACTTCTGCCTTAATATAATCCTCATATATCCAGTTCCCATTGAGTCAACTCTGGCTCATGATGACACCATTTGTGTCAGAGTAGAAGTGTGTTCCATAGGGTTTTCAGTGGCTGATTTAAAAAAAATAATAAAAATTGTGGAAATATTTATGTAACAGGGAGCTCTGGTGTCATAGTGCCTAAGGCACTTGGCTGCTAACCAGAAGGCTGGCGGTTCAAACCCACCAGCCACTCCTTGGAAGGAAGACTGGGCAATCTACTTCCATAGTGATATCAGCTCAGAAATCCAAGGAGGGGTCACTATGAGTCAGATCCAACTTGATGGCAGTGAGTTTTATGTATGGAACAAAGTATCTGCCATTTCAAATTCCTAATGTGTACAATTTAATGACATTAATTGTAGTCATCAAGTTGTGCAGCCATCACCATTATCCATTCCCAACTTTTTTCCTTCACTCTTAACAGAGTTTTTGGAAGTAGATCACCAGTTCTTTCTTTCAAGGTGCCTCTGGGTGGACTTGGACTTCCAATCTTTCAGTTAGCAGCCAAGCTCATCAATCATCTGCACTACTCCAAACCACCAAAATAAACCCATTACTGTAGAGTTGATTCTGACTCATGGCGAACATATGTGTTACAGAGTAGAATGCTCCATAGGGTTCTCTTGACCATAATCTTTATAGAGGAGCTGTGGTGGCACAGTGGTTAAAGAGCTCAGCTGCAACCTGAAACACTGGAGTTTGAACCTATTAGCTGCTCCATGGGAGAAAGATGTGGCAGTCAGTTTCTGTAAAGATTTACAGCCTTGGAAATGCTACAGGGCAGTACTACTGTTTTCTGTAGCATTGTTATGATTTGGAATTGATTCAACAGCAATGAATTTGGATTTTTAATCTCTATGGAAGAAGATTGCCATATTTTTCTTCTGTGGAACTTTTAGATTCCAACCACCAACTTTTAGCCTAGTAGGTAAATACAAACAGCACTACCCAGATACTACACACACACACACACACACATACATACACACACACAATATCCTAGTTCTGTCTGCTGAGGGAGTCTAGGCCCAAGATCTTATTTTTAAAGTTCTATTCATTATTAAAAGAACATGGGATCTTTGCAGGAATGACTGTTTCCAGTCTTGGGACAGAGAAAATACAAGACGTGCCTGAAATATCTATTTAAACCAGAAAGTAAAGAAGTACTCAGAGAATCATGAGGACATGTCAAGAGGGCACTGGAGTTAGTATGAATGGTCCTTCACTAACCAAATCTGAGGCAACTTGAGTATCACAATAATGGTAGTAGTGAATTATAAACCACTGAATAAAATACTAACTATCCTTATTGATATAAATTAAAACATAAAGAAATAGGAAGAGAGAGAAAAGCTTTGTCTTAAAATAGAAAGTCAATGATAATGTGGAAGATTGTGATGTTAGAACATAACTCTTTTGCAAAGATCACAGTACTAACTGATTTAAGCAAGATTCATAAATAAACACTAAAACTAGTAGGTGAAAGTTTAATGAGAAACAAGATGTTTATAGAGTTTCAAAGTATCCCTACAAAATACTCACTAAATACAAAGGTAAAAATACCAACTAAATAGTGGAAGATACCACCTTAAATAAGTAATCACCAGTATCGGAAAAATTGATAGTGTTTTCAAGGGTGTGACCCTTTGTAAACAGATTACCAGGTCAGTCTTCCAAAGAGATTTTGGGTGGGTTTGAACCACCAACCTTTTGGCTAGTTGTCCAGTGCTTAACTATTTGTACCACGCAGGGGTTCCTATTAGACCACAGGATTAGATGATAGTATGTATCAATGTTAAATTCCCCAATTTTGATAACCATACTTGTTTATGTAAGTGAATGTTCATGTTTTAGGAAATACACACTATTGGTGAATCTGGGTAAAGAAAATATAGTCACTCTTTGTATTATTCTTGCAACTTTTCTCTAAGTTTGTCCTCAAATGAAAGTATATTAACACTAAAAGAAAATCTTTTTCTGTTGTCAGATGGATCTTGGCTCAAGGCAAAGAATACCAGAAAGATGTCTACTTGTGTTTTATTGACTATGCAAAGACATTTGATTGTGTGGATCATGACAAATTATGGATAACATTGAGAAGAATGGGAATTCCTGAACACTTGATTGTACTCATGAGGAACCTGTACATTGACCAGGAGGCTGTCATTTGAACGGAACAAGGGGACACTGCACGGTTTAAAATCAGGAAGGGAGTGCATCAGGGTTGTATCCTTTCCCCATACTCATTCAATCTATATGCTGAGCAAATAATCTGAGAAGCTGGACTATATGAAGAAAAACGTGGCATCGGAATTGGAGGAAGAATCATTAACAACCTGAGATACGCAGACAATACAACTTTGCTTGCTGAAAGCGAGGATGACTTGAAGCACTTACTGATGAAGGTTGAAGAATACAGTTTGCAGTATGGATTGCACCTCAATATAAAGAAAAAAAAATCCTCACAACTGGACCAATGAGCAGCATCACAATAAACGGAGAGAAGATTGAGTTGTCAAAGAATTCACGTTGCTTGGTTCTACAATCGATGCCAATGGAAGCAGCAGTCAGGACATTAGACGATGTGTAGCATTGGGAAAGTCAACCATGAAGGAACTGTTTCAAGTGCTGAGGAGCAAGGATGTCTCCTTGAGGACTAAGATGTGCCTGACAGAAGCCATATTTCCATATTTCGGAAGACCGAAAAAGAGTTGATGCTTTTGAGTTGTGGTGCTGGTGAAGAATGCTGAAAGTACCATGGACTGCTAAGAGAACTAACAGATCTGTCCTGGAGGAAGTGCAGAGGAAATGCTCCTTGGAAGCGAGAATGGCCAGACTTTGTCTCACCTATTTTTGTCATGTTGTCAGAAGGGACCATTCCTTGAAGAAGGATGTCATGCTTGGTAGGGTGGAGGGTCGACGAAAGAGGGGGAGGCCTTCAACGAGATGGATTGACACAGTGGCTGCAATGATGGGCTCAAGTATAGCAGGGATTGTGGAGCTGGCGCGGGATCGGGCAGTATTTCGTTCTGCTGTGCATGGGGTCACTATGAGTCGGAAATGACTCAACTGCACCTCACAACAACAACAACAAAAGAAAAATCTCTTCTGCTCCTAAAATTTTGACATTCCCCTGGATGAGAATGATCACTGTCAGCTATCTTCCCATTTCATGATGGTGTGCTGATAAATATTTAACAATCAGCCTGGGGGAGTGGGGTGGGGGGCTCTGATCTGTAGCATCTGCTAACATCTGGCTTTCATTGGATGACTCCATGACACTAGTGACATTATGCAAAAAAATGGCTACATTAAATCAATCTTGGCACTTGAGGGAATAACCAAAGAAAGCCAAATAAACAATAAGCCAATAAGACAGTAAGCAAAATACCAGGAAACAAAAATAGTAACTCAACGGTTACTGAAGCTGAAGGAAAAAAACCTGACTTATTTTAAGACATTTACAAATATTATTTAATTTTTCATTATATAGGTGTTACACCTGATAATTTAAACAAAAATTGTTTAATTCAGATATTTCTGGCTCTTTTTATTCTATTATAATTAGCTTTCTAATTCTTTATGGTTTTTAAAATTGGTTTTTGGTTTATTTTCTTTAAGGGTTTCATGACAGTACTTTGTTTTTTCAATATAATGGGAATTCTGAACTGTAAACCAAGATACCCAGTATCTAGGAGAACAGGCTTGAGAATCAAATCAACCTGGGTTCAAATCCCTGATTTTTATTAGCTATGTAATTTCAGTGAATTATTTAACAGATATTTTCTGAATCTTAGTTTCCTCATCTGTACAACAGGATGCAATAATCTATCTAATACAGCAGATTACTGTTCTTTTTTGCTCTATTCACATATATTCTTTTTGACAATCCCAGCGAGGGTGTCTCTCCCAGTTTGCTCCATCACTTCAGCTCATTGAGTTTTTCAGCGTGCGTATCTGAAAAATATTGTACATTCTGTTTATCACTGCAGCTATAGCACCAGAGACACAATAGGTGCTCAATAAATATTTGTTGGATGAATAAATGAATAAAAGTAGTCCGCCTACTATTCCATGATTCTTTTGTGCTGCCAAACAAGGAGTCCTGTCCTACTTGCCACAAAGTGGGCAAGTAGTCTGGGTTGGAAATCAGAACACCCTTCTCCTGAACAATTGTCCAGTGTTGGGCATGTGACCTGAGCAGAGCCAAGCAGGATTCCTTTACAGGGCCTGATATGAATATTGAGAGGATTTCTTTTTTCTCTGAGGTCTCAGATTATAAAGTCCCTGTGAGTCTAAGGTTGCCAGTGGTCATGTTTTACAGCACATGGAGGATTTATTGCAGACTATGGTGAAAGAGAGAAAATCAGAGGCAAGAGATAAAACATGCTAGTCTGACTCAAGGGCTCATACCAACAACAACAGTATAAACTTTGGTCAAATCCTTGGATCCAATCACACCTGAAGGCAGAATTTTCTGCTGAAGATTAAGTTACATTTCTGTCACTTTCATCTGAAAGTCAATAAGAACTGGTGTATAGAGCTTCTAGCATGGAGACTTAGTGGTGCCAATAGTTAAATGCTCAGTTGCTATGATAGTTAAATTAATATGTCAACTTGGCTGGGCCTGGTTGAGTGGCTGGGCAGCTGGTGGTAGTTATTCCCCATGATGAGACTGGCAATTGACTTCATGGTGGGATCTACCACAAGCAACTGAGTAGCTGCCTTTGGGATGTGGTCTGTTTCCTATATATAAGGAGAAGCCTTGGGAATGGTCTCTAGCTTATGGCATGCTTGGACCCTGCATGTAGCTGTATCATTGTTTAGCAGCCTGCCATGCTCTGCTGATCTTGGGTCTTAAAATGGACTTAAATGAATGGCCTGTTGTGTGGCTTGGGAACATCGGGACTGTGCCTTTTTACTTGTCCACCTTGGGTTTGTCAGCCTCAGCAGCCAGCACCTGTCTGAGTGAAGAAATGCCTCTAGCTTCAGTGGGCCGGGAGCAGGAGGCAGAGCTGGACCCCAAGGTTGAGGGGCTTTCACCCAGTCCTTAGAACCTTGCACTTTGAACTTGGACTTAAAGCCTCCAAACTGTAAGAGAATAAACTCCTGTTTGTTCAAGCCATCTCATTTGTGGTGTATTCTTGTCAGAGCAGCACTAGGTAACCAGAACAACTGCTAACCAAAAGATTGGTGGTTTGAGCCCATCCAGCAGCTCCAGAGTAGAAAAACCAGGTGTTCTGCTTCTGTAAAGATTACTGCCAAGAAAACCCTCTGGGGCAGTTCTACACTGTCACATGGGGTTGCTATGAGTTGAAATCGACTCTATGGCACCCACAGAACAGCATAGTTTACATATAAGATAGATATTTAGTGAACACTTGTTGTTGGGGGCATAGTGCCTAAGACATTTGACTGCTAACCAGAAGGCTGGTGGTTCAAACCCATGAGCCACTCCTCAGAAGGAAGGTTGCACAATCTATTTCTGTAGTGATACTGCCTCGGAAATCCAACAGGTTGCCATGAGTCGGATCCAACTCAACAGTAGTGTGTTGCGTTTTTGCTTTGTTGGTGGTGGTTACTGTTGACTTTGACTCATGGTAACTCCATGAGTGCAGAGTAGAACTACTCCACAGGGTTTTTAAGGCTTTGATTTTTCAGAAGCAGCTTGTTGTGCTTTTCTTCCAAGGCACATTTGGGTGGGTTTGAAGTGCCAGCCTTTTGGCTAGTAGTAGTATTTTATTCCTCATCAGCTGTATGTTTCTGGGAAAGTCCTTCATCTCTTTAGGCTTCCTTTATCTCCCCTAAAATTGGCTGGATTATGTGTTTCATAAAGCAGCAGTGGTTCAGTAGTAGAGTTCATGCAAGAAACCTGGGTTTGATTGCCAGTCAGTGCACCTCATGTGCAGCTACCACCATCTGTGAGTGGAGGCTTGCACGCTGTTATGATGTTGAATAGGTATCAGCAGAGCTTCCAGACTAAGACAGACTAGGAAGAAAGGTCTGGTGATCCATTTTCAACAGTCAGCTAGTGAAAACCCTATGAATCACAATGATCTGATATGTAACAGATGATGGTGAGACACAAGACCAGGCAGCATTTCATTCCATTGTGCCTGTGGTCACTTGATGGCAGCTAACAACAACAAGGTCCTATATTTCAAAATTTCTATGACTTTGTAAACACTTAGGTTTTCTCTACATGGTTAAAAAATATACCACAGTTTGGAGCCTGTATCATGTTACTTAATTGATTAATGCCATACTTCTATGAGTTTTTCCACAAGACAGACCTAAGAACACAGAAAATAAATATATTCAAGGGTAGAGGCTACCTCATCTTCACAAGAAAGAAGTAAAAGTATTCAAGATTTCTTATAAGACTAAAAAATATAAAAGTTTTGGTTAGCCTATATTATTGGGAGATACCCACCTGGGCAAGGCCTAATGTTGCACATGATTATTTCCACAGCATTCCCTTCACATGGCCGCCCACCATGTTGAGCCAATGGAGTATTGCAAGTTCTGGTCCTGGTTTGGTTGCCACGGCCACAGCTCCTTGTGCATTCTTCCCAAGAACTCCATTCTGACCACTTACCATCCACTATACAAAAGTGAGCAATTAATTACCTCATCAGATATATTTTAATTGAAAGTACTTAATACAGAGGCCATCCAAAATTAAGGACAAGAAATGAATATCTGCATGCCTATCCATTGAATAAAGAGATGTACCTGGGCATGGTTTATTTTGACAGTTTCGCATTTCTGAATCTGAACCCTGGCAAGACTTCCCACCATTGGCTGGGAGGGGGTTGTTGCACAGACGGCTCCTCTTCTGGATACCTTTTCCACAGGTGACGCTACAGGACCTCCATGCAGACCACTGGGAAAATCCACCATGAACTGCATACAAAACATCATACCCTGTCACAGTTTTTATAGATTAAAAATCATAAATCACATTTCATTTAAGATATGCAGTGTGAGATATGCATTGTGTCTAGAGCTGAATCTGTAATTACTGAGAAATGGCCAAGGAATCAGCTCTCCTTTAAGATCAAACTGAAATCTAAGACTGAGAGAAAAACTTCCCAACACTTAATGAGTTCCTTCCAATACCAATCCTGACTCACATGGGCATGACTACTGTAAGAGTTACAGAAAAAGAAGTTAATATACTGGTTACCTTTTGATCAGAAATGATTCTTTAAAGAGAAATGCACTCATTGATCTCTGAGGATAAATCTGACTTACTTTTGAACAAAAAAATGTAGTTTGAGATTTTTAATTATAAACTTGGCATTTTATAGTTCCAATCTGCATTGCTTTAGTTTCTTTAGTCTATACATTGTACCAGGAGCTCTGGTAGCATAGTGCCTAAGGCACTTGACTGCTAACCAGAAGGCTGGTGGTTCAAACCCACCAGCCACTCCTCAGAAGGAAGATGGGGTGATATACTTCCATAGTGATACAGCCTCAGAAACCCTAGGAGGGGTTGCTCTGAGTCAGGTCCAACTCGACGACACATAACAACAACAACAATAAGTTGTACCATGATTCTGTCCTGCCTCCATAATGCAGGATTATCTTAATGATAAAGGAGACTTGCACTAAGATGCTTGAAAAGTTTTATGGTTTAGGTTACCCTAGGTATGAATATAAACATCTCTTTGATTCACTCACCCTGGACTATGACAGGCACCCTGACAAGGACAGAACCCATGATATTTCGAGCAACACATTCATATTCAGAGGTATCTTCTTTCTGAGCAGCAGCAATATATAAGGAGTTGTTGGACAACACCCTAAGTCGGTCATCCCAGGGAATGGGACGCCCTTGACGGGACCACAATATGGTTGGACGAGGCTCCCCAGTTGCCTGACAATTCAATATGACTTTGCCACCAGCACTGGTAACACTTTCTATTGGCTCAAGTGTGATAACAGGAGGACCTAATGGAGGAAGCACATAGTGTTTTTGAGCTTTTGTGGAGTTGTATTAACATTTTATCATACATAACACAGTCATTATAGCATCCTGACTATTAAAGTTGTAATTTCCACTGACAGCATATTCATGGTTCTGTTTTACTTGACAAATGTCAAAAATTTAAAATCACCAAGCAGATGAACCTAGAACATAGTCTCCACAGTCAGGTTTTCTGGATTCAAATCCTGCCTCTGCTCTTTACTAAGTTTCTGAGCCTATGGGTTCTTAAAAATGGTACTTACTTCAGAGGGTTCCTATTATACTAACTAAGAGGATATAAGCACAGATCTTAGGATAAGCACCCAATACTGTTAGTTACTTTTGTTATTGTTATTGTCTGTGCCTTGGTGAACATTCATCTTTCCCCCTTTGATCATTATTGAGGTAAAGTGTCATTATTCATTTATTCTTTTGATCATTCATCTTTCTTTTGATCAATAAACATGTATTGAGAGCTTACTGTTTGCCAGACATTGTACTAGATGCTGAGGGTACAGAGAAAACATATATAATTCTCGTTCAAGGAGCTCAAAGCCCACATACATGACATAAAACTAAACAATGATTTATCTGTTTTAAGAGCTCTGGTAGCATAGTACCTAAGGGATCTGACTGGTAACCAGAAGGCTGGCGGTTCAAGCCCACCAGCCACTCCTCAGAAGGAAGATTGGGCGACCTAGTTCCATAATGATACCGCTTTGGAAAGCCAAGGAAGGGTCACTATGAGTTGGATCCAACTCAATGTCAGTGAGAGAGTATTGTACAGTTTATTTACTTGTGTGGTAATATAATAGTATAAAAAACAATAACTTAATAGACCAAACACATCACTGAAAATGGAGAAAAAAAAACAAAGACTAATTTAAGAATTATTTAAAAAGTAAGAATAACAGGACTTTGTCACTGGGTGGGTAGAGAGTGAGGGGATAAACTGACTACTATTAAGTTTTGATTTGGGCAATATAGTGTTGGTTGGGGAAATTCAATATAACATAAGAGAACAATTATGGTTAGAAAGAGTGAGGAATGATAATGTGTGTCTATTTTTGAAGTTGACCTTAAGATATCTGGGGACATTCATGTAGAGGTGCTTAAAAGACAGGTAGATAATCATATCTGGAACTCAGACTAGAGCTATGGGCTTGAAATATAGATTTTTGACTTTTTCATGAGTGGATAATACTGCTTAAGACAAGAGTCTGAAATAAGAGGAAACCAAGCAAAGACAGAAATCACTGGAACATCAATTTTTAAGGGGTGTACTCAAGACAAGCCTATAAATGATGCTAAGATCTGATCAATGAAGTAGGAACAATATGGGGGGGGGGAATGGTATCCTGGAAACCAAAGAAGGGGCTTTAAGGAAGAGAAAGGAGTTAATAGGATCTACAGTGCATGGTAGCTGCTCAAACGGAGTCCTTGGAGATAATGTAAAAGAAATTATATACAACGTACAGCAGAATGTTTATTTTTATACTTATCTGCAGTGTCAAGAAAGAGTATGAAAGGATTCATGGGAGAGAAGAGATTTCAAAAAACAGTAAGAATGTATGGATAGAGAAGAGAAAGGAAAGAGAAAATCACTTGCAGAGAAGGAAACAGCATGGTATGGAGGTGGGATTTAGCTTTAAACTTTTTTTATTTTTAGACAATGAGGAGTTTAAAAACAATGAGTTACCTTGAAGAGTAGTAGCACATAATGTTAGAAACAACTGTTGGATTCAATTTATGAGGAATCTTAAGGAGGATTTGGCACATAGTACCACATTAGGTACACTCTATATATTGGTTTAATAAATGAGTGGACTTTGTTTAGTCCATCTTTTCTCAGACTTATGAGACCACGGAACCACTTTTTCCTTAATAATATTTCATAGGTTATCAATGATATATATGTACTTTAATAAAATACTGCCTTAGATAACTGTTACATGTCTATTATGTATTAAAAGTCTTACTGAAAGAACTAGATAGTACCCAGCTACCACTACTGACTGTTCTAATCAGGGCGACAGCAGATGGACCCTGATAGAATGGGAGGAAAATGTGGAACAGAACCTCAAATTCTTAAAAAAAAAAAAAATCAAAACCCAAAAAACCCTACCAGATCTATGGGACTGGTTGAGACTAGAGGACTCCCTGAGACTATTTCCTTGAGATACTCTTCAAACCTTGAGCTGAAACTACCTCCTATAGCTAGATAACAAATTAGTGAAAAAAAATAATGAACATCACCTATAAGTACTGTGCTTCTTTACAAAATCACCTACATGAGATCAAATGGTCAATAAATATTTTAAAACAAAGATAAGAATGTAAAGGGGAAAGAAACTAAATGAAGGGAAACTGAACAACCAGATGGAAATAATGAGAACGTTCACACATTGTTAAGAATGCAACAACTACCACTGAACAACTTGTGCAGAAATTGTTGGATGAGAATTTAACCACTGAACAAGGTGTATGCCTTCACCAATAGCACAATAAAATATTACTTAAAAAACAAAAAGTCTTACTCAATGGTAGTTTGGTAAACACCTGTTAGGTGGAAGAGATTTAGGGTTAGAGATGCATATTGAGAAGTCTGAAATTCTTTAGCAAAAATATTAATCTAGAGCATCTCTTAACAATAAATGAAGAAAATGTTAAATATAAATTTATTTATTAAATCCTGAGCCTGTTCACAAAATGAATTAGTTTGCTTAGTCTCAATCCAATGATATTCTCCTTAAGTCAGTCCCTGGAGTGGTTCTGTAGACACTCCAATGGACTGTTAGAGTTATTTTTGTTTCTCTAATTATAAAAGCTCTGTCTTCCCATGGTTTCTACTTTCTACCAAGGGGCTTCATGATGGACATGGGGATCCCACCAGAACAGAGTTAATTCATGAAAACTTGATAGCACTAGACCTGGAACACTTTGAGTTCATTTACATTAGCTTTTATTTTTAACAAATATTTTTAGAGGTGTATAAATGACATCTTTGTAAGCATGTTGCAAGAACTATAGTAAGCCGTAAAAAGAGTATTCCACTGAATATGTTCCCAAAAAAAGCTTTGCCATCAAGCAACTGCAATTGTGCACTGCATACATAAGATAAAATACATGAAAATACTTGTGTGAATGTGCATCAGTTTTAGGGCTGATGATGATTGTCCTAAGAGCAACAGAAAACAAAATCAGACACAATCTGAAAGCTACTATTAATGTACTTGCTATAAAGTTAAGGAAAGTGAATATTCTTCATTAGGCAACATTCCTTAAATCAAGTATGTAATTAGAGTTTAAATAAGTGGCTTACTTTGCAGAGTCAGACTCATACTGCGCTCCACAACCCCAGCTTCATTGGCAGCCACACATGTATAGTCACCAGCATCATCATTCTATGGAAACAAGCAGTGTTTAATAAAAATATGAGTCTGGAGCAGGGAAAAATCACTCTTTTCACCATGATGCTTGTTTATATGAAACGTCATTTTTGAGAAGGCATTTTAATAGAAATAGATAAACGAGAAGAAGAAAAGAAATTTCCAACCTAAGTTTCTCAAATCAGCCTATAATCCCTCTTTAGGAATAATAATTGGTAGGAAACAAAAGCAAAAATCATTTTATAATGACTAATCAGAAATTATCTTACTACAGAGACATAGCAATGCTAGTCTTATGGATATCTTAAAAACATTAAAATAATCAAAACAAATACTGAATTCTTTCTAATAGAGATTATTAAAAAATATATATTGTTTGGCCTTGTCTTTAGAGAGCTTGAGATATAAAAGAAAATGAAAAAAATTACTTATAATAATATATCACAGAAGGTCACAAATTTATAGATAGATAAGATAGAAAATAAGTACTATCTGAATTTAGATTTGGTAACTTACTAGAATCACAGACTTCTCTAGAGGTCTTGTGAATAAGAGAATTTCAGTCTCATTAATAGAAATAGGACATCACTAGGGGAGAAATGGTTTGCAGGGAGTGCAGGAGGGTAGGGGGGGAAAATTAGATATTAATTTAGATGTTTAATTTGAAGTTTCTGTATATCATCCAAATAGAAATTTCTATATTGGCAGCTAGAATAGAACTTGGAAGAGATTTAGGGTTAGAGATACATATTTAGAAGTCTGAAATTCTTTAGCAAAAATATTAATATTAACAATGATATTAGAACAAGTACCCAGGACTTCAGAAATGGTAGCATTTGCATTGAAAAAAAAAATGAAGAAGTGGCAATAAAGCGGCTAGAGACTTATTATTGTTGCAGCAACTAAAGGTAGATATCATCTCAAAACTGAAGGGGCAATCAACACCATGTAATGTGGAAGTGAAACCAAGAAGAGAAAGATTGGATTAGGTGATTAGATAGTACATTTCAATCAGTTATTTTTTAAATTAATTGAACTATGAAAGCATATAAAATATTTCACTGAATGTGAACTAATTAATGACCCATATATATTGTAGTTGAGAAATTTTTAGATAAAATATTTTGTTCAGTTGACCTTGAAATGCGAATCACCTAAGGAACCACTCATTTTCTGAATGACAGAAGTTTTGGGAAAAGCTTACTATAGTTGTGGGCTTAGTGATGAAATGTCCTCTGTAATTTATTTGTAACTGTGGTTGTAATTCTTTAATTCTCTTGCTCTAAAGAGATTTGAGGAGGTTATCTCCTAATATTAAATACTAGTAAAGGTCAATGATATAGGAACAAAGCAGTAAAATTATCTTATTACACTCATTAGTTTAAAAAGGGCTAAAATATAAATTTGAAGCACTGTTTCAGTGCTTTAAAGAAGCCATCTATTCTTATTTTATGATATAAGAAGGAATATAAGAGACACTTTTCCCATTGTGGTTCCAAGGGGAGCATTGATTTTGGCAGTTTAAGTGCACATCATCAATTCCAGTGTGACTTACTACAGTGCCATAGATGGCCAGAGAGCCATTGCCGAGTTGCCGAATTCTGTGGCTAATTTCAATTTCCATCCCTTTTCTGCTCCACTGGATGGTTGGGGCTGGGTCTCCTTTTACCTCACAATTCAGGATTGCATTGCCACCAAGTGGCTCAATCCAGTTTGAAGGATAATCACCTTTGAAGACTGGAGGTTCTGGGAAATAACATAAGACAAATACAAAGTAAAAGGAAGCTGTGGTAACGTCTTTGTCATTTGACATATTTAGTAAAAAAATTAGGCAATTTAGTAAAGAGGGGAAAAGCCACTTTAGAACCTGATGAATTTTTTTAGAATCAACTGCTCATGTTAATCAACTAAATACATTTGTCAATTTCCACAAAATAAACTGATGATTCTGCTTTGTGCCAATCTCTTTACTTACTGATAACCTATTTTGTTGTTGTTGTTCGATGTACATCATTTATTTCTCACGAATATTCATACCTGTGAAATAGGACTGGATGAGTTAATAAAATGAAAACTGTATGTTATTATTAAATAATAAGGAAGCAAAACACTAACCATTCATTACAAATAAATTGTAACTAAATAATAGAGCACTTTTACCTACCTTTTACATAAACAAATCCAATTGCCTTCACAAAACCAACGCTGTTCTCTGCAGTGCACACGTAAGTACCGGAATCCTCTTTCGACACTCTTTCAATAATAAGTTCACTGTGTCCACTGACACTGTCAAAGTGGGCTGAGGGAAAAAGGTTAGGAAACAACACAAATGCCTCTCAGAAAGCTAGGAAAATATTCATGGCAGCTCAATATTTTCCAGATTAGATTTATGAGTTAGTCAGCAAATGAACCAAAGAGATCTCATTTTGGCACTGAAGAGGGGCTTGTCAACAGATTTCTCCCTCTGAGCTATTTACTATGTCTATAGCCACTTGTTTGGAGAATAAAAAACAGCAGAAGAAACAGGAAAAGAGAATGAAAACAAACATCTTTCAAACACACCTTAGATTTAAAGTGCATCTTTCAACTCAGTGTTACTTACAGCTGATTTATAGCCTTTCTTGGATTCAAATTTTCATTTGGAAACATAACATTTTCAATTTCTTTTTATCTTACCACAACTTTTCCTCCCAAACAATTTACATCAAAAACCTGAAAGCATTTTCAGATATAGTTCAACCAATTTGGCAGGTCAGAGGGGAAGTCATGAAAAAATCGGCGAGCTATGTAATACTGACAACATGATCAAATTTGTAATAATTTAAACTAATCCAAAATGGTGATGATATATTTATTTTACCAAGGCAATTATAAGATTTGATGCAGAGCATAAGGTAAACATGCTAATCCTAAAACAATTGACACTAAATAAGATTCTGATTAGACCAGCTGTAGTCTAATTATGTTAAATATGTTTTTGCATACTTTCCCCTTCCAAGTTACCTTTTTAATTTTATACAGCCGAGCATTAAGTGGAATGTTAAGCCTTAAGTTTAAAAATCTAACTTAGCACTATATTTTCTGAAACTAATATGGATTACATTTTTTTAGACTTTGTTATTCCTGAGTGATGTGTTATTGTTATTATTAAGATAATATATGTATTCATTATTAACATAAATTTTTACAACAACAACAAAAAATCCCCTCAAAAAATCTCTTTTCTAGCAAGATATATATAAAATGCTAATAGTGTAATACTTCAGAACTCAATTTTGGGAGACAACAAGTTCATATTAGTCATTATCATTATGCTGATGACAAATTCTGATAAATAAGTAGACATTTGTCTCCCCAGGAATGAGTGCTACTATGTTCCAGGCTCTACCTTAACATGTAGTTTATATATTGACTAGAAATTTTCTGCATAAATTGGCCTATACTTATAATAGAAATTTATTCCTACAACTGGAAGCAGAATTCTCCTTTACAAAATTAGGGGTATCTTCAGGAATCCAACAGTAGTTACCTTAATCCATTTATTAACAATGAAGAAGGGCCAGGTGTGATAAGTTTAGGTGCCTGTAAATCAATATTGTCTTCTTATGGAGTAATATTTTCTTACTTAAAAAGAAAAAACTGCTTATGTCCTTCAGTGTATGATCCTGTGATAGCTTATCCTTTCAAGAGAATTAATAGAACATATATACTGGGAATAAAGTAAAGTCAAAGCACAGGTGCACACTGTGTAATTTAAAACAATCAATTCATCATGACAACTTTTCAATCAATTGTCATAACTAGAAGAAATGTGTTTTTGTTATATGCTGTTGAGTCAGACTCGACTCATAATGACCCCTCCTTGGGTTTCCGAGGCAGTATCACTACAGAAGTAGATAGCCCCATCTTCCTACCGAGGAGTGGCTGGTGGGTCAAACTTCTAGCTAGCAGTCAGGTACCTTAGACACTATGCTACCAGAGCTCCTAGAAGAAATGTAGCTTAGTTTAGAGTCCTATCTTGGTTTATGTAGTTACCTCTTAAGAATTAAATCACCCACCTGGAATAATGTTGTTATTGAAAGTCCATGTTAACTTGGGCAATGGAACACCAGTTGCTTTACAGCTTAATCGTAGCTGTTCTCCTTTGTTTAATGACACATCTCCGGGAAGTTCAGTGAAAGTGGGGAGAACATGTACAGTCAGGCTGACAGTATGTGTGTCTTCTCCTGCAGCATTGTTAGCAACACAGGTATAGATGCCAGAATCCTCTGCCTTAAATAAAAAATCATAGTGCTTAAAATTACATAAAGATCACATTACATAAAGCAGATAAAATGTCATAGCCTGGTTCCCAATGAAGCACTTTTATTTAAAGACAATTTAAATTCTCATCTTTAGTCTGAACCATCAGCTTAGCTTGTATATAACATAATTTAAAATATATCGGAGTTGGGGGGGGGTAGGAAAAAAATATATAGGAGTTTAAACATAAGACCATACCTTACAGAACAGTATCAATTAGTTTATAGTGATAAGATCTCAGGAAACTTTAGATCCAAGTGTGGACATGGTTCTGTAATGTCTAAACAAAGTACGAATAAGCCCAAAGGGTAGTAGCATCTTGACAGCATAGATGGTATGGTAGTTATGTTTGTGTGTCAACTTGGCTGGGCCTGGTTGAGTGGCTGGGCAGCTGGTGGTAGTTATCCCCCATGATGAGACTGGCAATCAACTCCATGGTGTGATCTACCACAAGCAGCTGAGCCTTTGCGATGTGGTCTGCTCCCTATATATAAGGAGAAACTTTGAGAATGGTCTCTAGCCTTTGGCACGCTTGAACCCTGTATGTAGCCGTGTTGTTACTCAGAAGCCTGCTATGCTCTGCCAATCTTGGGACTTACAATGGACTTAAGTTAATGGCCTGCCATGTGGTTTGGTAATATCGGGACTGTGCCTTTTTCCTTGTCCACCTTGAGGCTTCTTAGCCTCAGCAGCCAGCTGAGTGAAGAAATGTCTCTAGTTCCAGTGGACTGGGAGCAGGAGGCAAAGCTGGACTCCATGGTTGAGGGGCTCTTACCCAGCCCCTAGAACCTGACACTTTGAACTTGGACTTAAAGCCTTCAAATTGTAAGAATGAACTCCTGTTTGTTAAGGCCATCACATTTGTGGTATATTTCTTGTCAGATTGGCACTAGGTAACCAGAACAGATGGCTCTCTGGGTGATGTGGTGCCAAAGACTACCAAATTTATCAGAAGAAATGACAATGGGTAAGGGCAGTATTATTTGTAATTCTGAAGTTCCACTTGCTAAATCCAACAGCCAGTTCTTAGCATTTATGTGATGAAATGTATTGGCAAGATTTGACACAGTTATGACTCCCTGTTTGATAACTTGTTTTCACTTGGCTTCCAAGACACCAAAGTCTCTAGTTTCCTTCTTAACTCACTGGTTGTTTCTTCTTCATGCCCTTTACTATCTTCTCCCCAACCCTAATGACTTAATGTTGGCATATGAGAGGATTCTGACTTTGGACCCTTTCCTTCTTATCTAGACTCAATTTCTTGGTGATATAACCACTCTTATGGCTTTAAATATCACTGACATGCTGATGACTACCAGTATTTTTAGCCCATATCATCCTTTCAAACTCCAATAAATTCTTCAGAGATTATATTGAACGTCTCATTCAAACCTTCTGGTTGGATGCCTAATACTGGTTGCCAGAGTCGATTCTGACACATGGTGACCTTATGTTACAGAGATCTGCTCCATAGGGTTTTCTTTGGCTGTAATTTTGACAGAAGAAGATTGCCAGGGCTTTTTGTGTGTGTGTGTGTGTGTGTGTGATGCCAATGGGTGGGTTTGAATTCCAGTTATTAAGATAGATCTTTATAACAACAAAAACTCCAGCTTACTATTTCAGGTTAGTAGTCGAATGCAAACTGTGCCACCCAGGGGCCTTGCATGCCTAGTAGACTTCTCGAACTCCTGTCCAAATAGAAGTTAATTTTTCTTTCTTCCTTCCTGTTCCACCAGTAGCCTTCACATTCATTGCCTATCTCAGTCAATGACAATTCTGTCCTTTCAGTTATTCATGCTTTTGTTCTCAGACATTTGAGTGAGTCATCCTTCACTCCTTATTCTTCACAATTTACTTGCACTCTATTAGGAACTCTTAGCTTCAAAATATAAGGAGAATCCTACCACTTCTCACCTTTTCTCCTCCAACTTTCTGGTCTGAGTCCTATCATTTTAAGTGGAATATTAGATTAGTTTCCCAACAGGTCTCTCTGGGGCTATCCTTGCCTCTCTACTGTCTATTCTCATCCTAATAGTCAACTAAGACATCATCTGAGTTTTTGCACATACCTAGTTCCTTTTCATAAGCTTTTAAAATGCACACGTTTCATTTAAAAAATTGGGTGGAATAAAGTTGAACAGATTAAAATCAGAACAGATTAAATTCATGAAATTGATCACATTCATAGTATAATCTCAGCCAATTAGCCATGTGGTATGTGCAGATACAGGTTCCTGTCCACATGGACTTCTATTGAAAATCTGAGATACTTCTGATGGCTACTACTCTTTAGAGTTGGAGAGGTGTCATTTAAGAATATTGAGATACCTCAACTTTCACAGATCCCTAAAACTTTAGTTTTCACATCAATGATTAGAAAAGTTATTGAAAAATCAGAAAATATAAAAAAATTGCTTTTCATATGTGCTTAATAATATATTCGATACTTTTACACCTCCACTCTTCCAATCACTGTCGCTGGCATCGATTCTGACTCATAGCACCCTCAGTGGGTTTCCAAGGCTGAAATTTTCCATAAACACAAAAAGTATTCACAAAAACATAATAGTGATTTTCAGAGGGTGCTATTATTCTCAGCCCTTGGATATAAAATGAAATATGTGTAAAATGATTTTATTACCTAGATTTATAATTTTCCCTTCATTATTAAAAAGTTTTTCCATGTTAGTTAGTAAATATAAGGTGGTGAATTAAAAATGTGACTTACTGTATCTGTTCATTTTTATTAAACTTACCACAACATTTTCCAAAACGAGTTCTCCATATGGTTCAGCAGTGTATTTTCCTAACAAGTCAGCTAAGAGAACATTGTCTTTTTTCCAGTTAATGGTTGGTGTGGGGATTCCATCAGCCACACACGGAAGAACAGCTTGTGAATTCTCGTTGACTGTGTAGTGTACTTCTGTACTACGGATTCTTGGTGCTACTATAAAGTGTTTAAAAAGGATAGTCATTCAGGATGTTGAGTTCAATAACATCTTTATTCACACTGAAAATTAATACACAAAAGACTCTGGGAGATATACTAAGAAATACTAAAAAACACCTATTAAAGTATTGATTTATTTGCTATGATGAAAGCAATCAGTATTTCTGATGATAGCAAGAAATGAAATATATTTTAAGTTACTGAATATATTTATTTTAATTATACTTTAGGTGCAAATTTACAGAGCAGAATTTGTTTTATATTTAACATTTCATGTACATTTGGTTTCACTCTCCAAATACCATCCCTAACCTTAACCCACCCTCCTCTTCTCCCTTCCCAGTAACCCCCCACCCTGTGCCCCTCTTAGTTATGCACTCTTGCTTTTCTTCCATGTGAATGTTGCCCCTGTGGTGCCCCATGGCCGACTGCTCCAAGGGATGTATCTCCACTGAGTATGTGGGTGCATTGCCCTGGGTTGAGTGGTCTGTATGTATGTCTTATTTACTATTGGGCTGAGAGCCAGCCCTTGGGAGTGAGTTTCATCCCAGGCCCAAAGTGTATCCCAGGGCCATAGTCTTAAGGGTCCCACCAGACTCTCTCCAACCAGTAATTCTGGTCATTAATTGTGTTTTTGGATCTTGTTCCATGTTTTTCCTCCCACTCTATCTGGGATCTACAGTTTTGATTCCTTCCCTAAGTGGTATTGGTAGCTGAGTACCATCTAGTTCTTCTGGTCTCGAGGTCCATCATGTCCTAGGGCTGATTGTTTCCAAATGCCTCTGTTTATGTTTCACTCTTCTTCACTTCTGATGATAAGAGACCATAAGCTGCATCTTGGATGGCCACTTGAAAGCTTTTAAGACCCCAGTTGCTACTCACCAAAGTAGGTTGTGGAACAAGATTTTTATGTATTTTGTTGGGCCAATTGAGTCTGGTGTCCCCCTATACTATAGTCCTCAGTTGGCAGATCCATTGGATCTCTCTCCCATAGTGTCTGGCTGTCTATGAGGGATTGCACTATGTTTGTCTTCTGTTGCTTCTGCAATGATTGCAGGTGTTGAATCACTATATCTGTGCAAGATTATCCTCAGCTGAATCTATCTTTGGTCTAGAGTATCATCCTGTTCACTGACCCCATCTGATCTTCTCAGTTGTCTATGTGTTTATCTGCAGCCTGGTGTTTGGTGTTAATGGTAATGCAATATTGTGGATATACTGGTATTAGCCTCCATTGTCTATATTTTATGTGCACAATATTGAATGTATTTAAATGTAGTTTCTGAGCAAATGACTTAGAAATGGTTTGGAAATCTCTAGATTTTATTTGACTTCCTGACTACTTCTTATATGAATTATTTATGCTTAATGTAGTGAAGGAAAACAAATGGACAAAGAAAGAAATAACTAACACCAAAAACAAACAACCAAACCAAACCAAAAATGCTTCTTTGGTTGTATAATGGCTGGGTTTGTATCACAGAGGTATTGTGAGGATGAACTAATAAAAGTCAGTGTAAAACATTCAACTATATTAAATATCACAAAGTGATTTAAAAAAAAAGCAGTACTTCAAGTGTGTTAAAATAAAGGCAATCAAAATTAAGACATTTAAGATCACTTTTAGTTTGTACTGTTTCAGAGGAAATTTTTATAGTGATCAAATAACTCCATTCCATGCATTGTAATATCAAGCCAAATGCATTCACTCTCTCTGTTTCTTTTTTTTTTAAAACCAAAGTTTTGGCAATATAAAAAGATGGAAAAATACTTCTGTATACTATGAAATACCTTAGTGGACTTAGAACAAAGATATTTTCTTCCAAAGGAAGAAATAACAAATTCTTAGCATAACAAATACTAAGAATATTTGAATGAAAAAGTAAAAAAATCTCTCTTCCAAAACAACTGATTTTGAAATTATTCAAACATAGCAGTGACAAATAAACCAATCTTAGTGACATTTTAAAAAGTAACAACAGTTGGTTTCAGCAAAAATAAAGTTACAGTGCAAACTTGACTTATTCATCCTTTTGTTTTTATGAATATAAAAGTAAATATACAAACAGCAAAAAGTATATATTGTATAATTATATAAATTATGATCACATCTGTAATAAATATTATAGGTAATCTAGAAAGCACAAAAATCTACTTTGCTGAATGGTGCAGCATAAATATTCAATTCATTTTTCATTAATTTATGCTGTATATTAATTATCTCTATTATCCTGATTTCTTTGAGTTGTTATTGCTCTTTAGTTAATGCTTAGAGACTTGCAGCATTAATATATTTACGTCAATTTTTTTTTTCCAAAATAAAAATTTCAAGGTTATAACTTTAAATTTAACTTTGGACACAAACTATATATTTTGATATGTAGTATCCTTCCTTACTTTTATAATTTTCTAAATAATCTGAAAATAAAAACATATTCTGTGACCTGCTTGTTAAGGTTAGGAAGCTATCTTTTATTTTTTTAACTTTTTATTGTGATTTGCATGAAAGTTTACAGAGCATATTACTTTTCCACTTATGGAATGTACCTTTTAATCTGTCTTAGTTGGGATTTTGCTATTAAAACCTCATTACCAATTTGTAGTATTATTGAACTCTGGTTAGGGACTGTGGCCTGTACTTTTGGTATATATTAACAATTTCTTCATCACCTAGCACTTGGTCAATTTTGGTAAATTTTCTATGAATACTTGAAGAGTATTATGATTTATCTGTAAAGTAAAGGGTTAATATGTATTGATCAGTTGAATTATATTAATTGAAAGCAGGTCTACATCAAGGGAGAAGTTTAGAAAACTCATAAATGGTGATATTAAAAAATTTTGCTAAGTTATTTTTCAATGACAAATGTTTGCACTTGAAATTATAGTTATAACTATGAATTTATAGGAAATTCAAATATATTTGAGAAATACAAAGCACTTTCACAATTTTTGAAAACAAAGAAAAGCAAAGACTCATTATTTAAACAACAATTACCTTTAAAATAACAGTTGGAAACTCAGTTTAATTTGTTTACTACTCTTTCCTACAACTGATATTAATAGGCATTCTATCTTTAGTCTTAAAATGTACACATAACATTTAAAATATTTCTTTAGGTATTTTGTTAGTTATCTGAATATATAGAATAATATATATAGAATATTTCTTTGTTATAAAAATATATGTGTAAGTATTTTAGGAGTTTAAAATAATGAATCAAATAGATATCCAATTCCCACTGGATCCTAGCTGTGTTTATACTGTAGTATATGATACTGTAGTGTATGATAAATTTTGAGCCAAGGTAACTTGCAGCTTGAGAAATAAAGCAGAAGAGTCAAAAAACACAAAGGAACTCCTCATAAGCCAAAGAAACCCCAACAATCACATTGTGTGGGGAATTATTAGTAATATATTCATTATCCTGCTTATATTACAAAATACCTCTCTCTCACACATATGTGCACACACACAAATAGACCATAGCAAAGTATGGATAACATTGCAAAGAATGAGAATTCCAGAACATATAATCATACTCTTGTATAATATGTACTTAGACCAAGAGGCAGCTGTTTGAACAGAACAAGGGGATACTGCATGGTTTAAAATCAGGAAAGGTCAGGATCAAGGTTGTATTCTTTCACCATACACATTCAATCTGTATGCTGAGTAAATAATCTGAGAAGCTGGACTATATGAATAATTTGACATCAAGATTGTAGGAAAACTCATTAACAACTTGCAATATGCAGATGATACAACCTTGCTTGCTGAAAGGAAAGAAAACTTGAAACACTTACTGATGAAGATCAATGACTACAACCTTCAGTATGGATTACACCTCAACATAAAGAAAACAAAAATCCTCACAACTGGACCAATAAGCAACATTATGAGAAATGAAGAAAATATGGAAGTTGTCAAAGATTTCATTTTACTTAGATCTACAATCAACACCCATGGAAGCAGCAGTCAAGGAATCAAAAAACGTATTGTTTGCCACAAAAAAATCCCTCTAAAATGTTAAAGAGCAAAAATGTCACTTTGAATATTAAGGTGTGCCTAACCCAAGCCACAGTATTTTAAATAGCCTCATGTGGATGTGAAAGCTGGACAATGAGTAAGGAATACTTCAGAGGAATTGATGCATATAAATTGTAGTCTTGGCAAAGATGTTGAATGGCAAAGATATTTATATGAACTACCAGAGGAACGAACAAATCTGTCTTGAGGGAGTACAGCTGGAATGATCCTTAGAAAGGAGAATGGCTGTCTCTCATTCATTGGTCATGTTGTCAGAAGGGACCACTCCCTGGAGAAGGCTTTCATACTTGGTAAAGTAGAGGGTCAGCAAAAAAGGGGAAGAACCTCAATGAGATGGATTGACACAGTGGGTGTGAGGAGGGTTCAAGCACATTATTATGAGGATGGTGCAGGATCAGGCACTGTTGGTGTTCTTTTGTACCCAGGGTTGCTATGAGTAAGAACCAAGTTGATGTCACCTAACAGCAACAAACAACACAGAAAATAGAAAATAGATTTAAAGTGTATGTGTACACACACACACACACACACACACACACCACTTTGGATTACTGGTTTTGCACGGTTTTGATTTCCATCATACTTGCCCTTACTGAACTTTTCTCTTTGCTATGGTATTGCATCAGGCTGAATGAAATAATGTACATTAAACTACCTACCGTGGACAGTGAGTTTGGTGCTGGTGCTGCTTGATCCTGCCACATTAGCTGCCATGCACGTGTACTGGCCTGCATCATCAGGCTGAGCGAATGCTATTTGCAGAGCTCCAGAGCTGAGGATGCGCTGGCGGATTGATTCCAAAACGGCACGCCCATCTTTATGCCAAGTAATGTCAGGTGGTGGGAGACCATCTACTTCACACGGCAGTGTGATGGGCTTATCCACAGCAGTGACATATTCCTTTGGATGGGGGCTAATGACTGGAGGAACTAAAAGATATAAAATTTAAACCTCATTATAAAACACGAGTCTGGCTTTCACATGCTACAGTACTGCGCTAACAAAGTGAAGTAACATTGGTAAGAAACAAAATCCTGCCTCTACCATATCATGAAAAAAGAATCACTATGGTTTATTTAGGAGCTCTGGTAGCATAGTGGCTAAAGCACTTGACTGCTAACCAGAAGGCTGG